CACACACACACACACACACACACACACACACACACACACACACACGGATGGATGGACAGTAACAGGAGTGGAGAGGGGAGGGCAGGCAGACACAGGAGAGTCATTTATAAATCGAAGACAGATTAAATTATTCGCTGGCCAACATGGACACTGAGCATGAAATTTAGCAGCAATCACATTGCCTGCATTCGCTGTCTCATTTATCATAAGCGTGTGTGAGTGTAGGGGGCTGGTGGTGAGGTGGGGGTGGATGTCAGGGTCCACACGGAGATAAGACATACACACACAAACACACACTCTCACAATTACGGGAGAGACTCTATGTGAAAACACACTGTACGTGGAGGCAGACGGGCCGTAGAGCATTAAGTGTGATGAAATGTGTGTACATGCGTGAGTCGCCTGCTGTGACCTTGATTGATGATATCATCATATTGATATAGTATTGTGTATCACGTTGGTCAGAGCAGGGGCAGGTGGTGATGATACAACAGAGAGAGAGCGAGAGGAGGGAGAGGGAGACGCTGCCGCCAAACTACACACATCACAAAGGGGGATGGTTACACTTCCTCAACTGTGAGTCATGCGTGTCCCAGCATGTACGATACGCTACGACCAACACACCTGACTCACCCTGTGACCCGGAGCCAGAGAAGAGGTTGGTATTAAAAGTGACGTAAGTGTCTGAATTGTTTTGATTTTAATTTTCAATTCTGCGGCCCAAACCATGACTGTAAATAACTCCTTGTTGATGGAGCAGATGTTCAAACTTAGAGAAGAATTTTACTCCAACAAAGGAAGTTATTGTGTTTAAGACAAGCAATCCTGAGCTTAGAAAAACTTTGCATTTTAAGTTCTGAGTGATGCTGGAACTTATCAAAGAAACGTATTACCTCTTTATTACCTTATATGTATCATATATAATTCATGGATTTTGATTAAGAGAATCAAACATCTTAAGGGGACTGATATTTATGAGTGTGTGCACTTCAAATAAAAATCAGGATCTAGTGACTTTAAATTTGGTTTCAGAAGGGGACCTTGGCAGAGTGGCATTCTAGTTTCAAAAACATTTTATTATTATACAAACTTACATCTCTATCTCAGTGTTTTTGCAGGTTTTGGGCAGAACTGCGAGGCTGCCGTCCACTTTCTCTCCACTGGTGGATGGACTGCCTGAGTGAACAAAGAACCAAATAACAACAAATAATGGAATAAATTGCATTTATAAAACATTTATCTGCAAAACCTGTTCTTATGCAATTCTCAAGACTCATTCCTTCTGTTTGTCTTTATTCAATCAGTTCATTCATTCAGACTTTGCTTAACTTACCATCATTTAACCATTTGGAATAGCTGAGGTTTACTCTGGAATCAAGCAGTATACTGCTGCTGCAGAAACAAAACAAAACCGACATTTAAAAGCCAACAAACTGAGAAAATCAAAACACAACCTATGTGATAAATGATAAGGAATACACTATATCATTATTTTATGTCTAATTGAATATCTGGTGTGAATGAGAGGCTGTCAGGTGGGATACGTACTTCACTGTCGTCTCTTTGGAGCTTTCTCCTGAGCAGGGGATGACGTCTGCCTCTGTGTATCTGAGAACAAACTCAGGAAAAACCAGAAGGTGGGAGATAACAAGTAAGATGCATCTAACTTTTAATATGCTTTTTTATTATTTTAATCACTTTCCTTAACACTGTGAGATGGGGAAGGTTTTTGACATATTCTTTCAGGTAATAATCCATTGATCTGGATGTTTAAAAAGATCGGATGTATTAATGGTGTTGAGATCTATGAGTTTGTGCAGTTTGGTGCTGAACTGAGAATGCACCTCCTTTTAATTAGCTTTTAAAAGCTTGAGATTGTCATAAGTAAGATTGTTTGACCTTGCCGGAGGTATCCGCTCCAGAAAGTGCCACAGTTCTAAAGTTTATTCTCCTTGTAAGTGATTTTTCTCACCTCTCTATGAACCTAGATACACAGTTAGATTATGTGTTCACTGTAAAGGATACTGTGCTCTGCCGTACTCCAGAGTATCGTCTCCATCCACGTCCAGGTCTGCGTCGCTGTCTCGACACTCCTTGGAAGTAGTGCTCACCAGCATCGCACCTAATGAGACAGATTCAAACACTCTTTACCAGTTTCAGGATTGTATTAACAATCTTTAGAACAAAGAGAACATATTTGTCTTTAATTCTAAGTTTTATTTGAGAATCACAAGATGCTATTCCAGCTGTCAGTCAGGGTGCAACAAGTTTGCAGGTCAGAGATTCTTCTCAGGTAAAGCAAAGTGCTACTTTTAAGTGAACCCTCGAGGCGCTCTGCTCTGCTGTAATGTGGATTGAAAAGTTCAGTGATTTTTCAACTGCCACTCAGTCACATTACTCACCCTCCACTGAACAACATCACACACATGGGTACCTCGATGGCACGCGCACACGCACACATACACAGGCACACACACGCAGACATGTATCCTTACCTTTAAACCCTCCAACCATAGACGACATCTGTATCCTTCTCCTCTCGTTCCACTCGTTCTCCAATGGCACCAAGTCCAGTGAACCCTCCTAGAACACACATGTGCACATGAAGAACACATGCCTCTGTCTGGATGAATATGTCCATATGCCTCCTGTAGCCCCGAGCTGCATATCTGCTTCTGTGTTTTCATAGCTGTGAACCAACCCCTGCAGTGTTTTCACATGGATACACACTGAGCTGACAGTGATCCTGATGCTACGTGAACAAAAGGCAACAGCCTCATAGGCTCCAGCTCACCAACATCCTCCCAACCTCTATATTTTATGTACATATTCATCTCCTATTATAGTATTTTATATAAATTGATTTTCATTGGTGCAAAGACAAATAAATGACATACCTGTCCGTCCTCTGGTTTCCTCCTCTTCAGTTTTCCAATCCTGACTGGGGACAGACAGAAGAAACGGAAGACGGTGGAACAGTTACTCTACAGGAAGGACTTATGTTGGTCTCTTTATATTTTTTTTAATCAGATTGCTTTTTTAATTTGTCCTTGATTTTTGAACTCTCACATTTGAAACTTCCCTCTTTCTTGGCATTCAGCAATAATTACTGAGAAGTCCAATTTTACGTTTTTGTGTCACTGATGAGGACAGAAAGTGGCAGCAGGATTAAATTGGTAGTCGCACAGAGGAAAATAAGCGTATGTATGGAAATAATTAGGGGGAAGAAGGGGTGAGAAAATGGGGGTTGGTAACTTTTCTTTTGGCTAAAAGGTTGAATTGCCTGAAGGATTCTTTTAAATATTTATTTTCTTATCTTGAATCTATATTTTACTCCAGCCTGTTTTCATAATGGTTAATTACATTATTGAAGTTAAAGTAAATTATTTATACAGTTGCATTCTTTTTTTTGGTTCACACAACTATATGCAGAGGACCACTAGTTTGTATCTGTAAAAGGTTCTTTTTGATGTCTACATCAGTGACCCACATTAACATTAACATGTTCCATTCAGATATTTTAATACCACATTTTAATACATTATTTAACATGTTGCACCAGAAGTTTTATGAGAAAATTCTTCATATCCTTCAGAAAAAATCACTTTATGTGGTGATCATGAAAATGATGGAATGACATAGTTCTCATTTTAATCTGAGTGTAAATTCACTTGTTTAAGAAAACACAAGTTTAACGTGAGACAATATGAATCAGGTTCCAAACCAAAAACCAAACCAAAGAAAACTCTGTCAGACTTATTATATTATATATATTTTAGCGGTAACAAAGTCCATTCAGATGTAATTGAGTTTTAAATAATATTGATTTTAAAGTGAAAGCACACACATGGATCAGGGTGTGTGTTGGGGAAGGGTTCGTCTGACAGGAGTCGGTAGAAAAACCTCTGATTCACATGTAAAAAGTTATTTTCTGTTGCTTCAGCTCATTTCACAAACTTTCCAGCTTACGTGAGAACAAACCTGTCACACAGTCACAGTAACACACACAGAGCCAGAAGTGCAACACTTACAGTGAAGCGTGAGGAGACACAATGTGCAGGGCTCCACATACACAACAGATATCAACACTCCTCCCCTCCCCTGTCCTGTCACCCCACCCTCCTCCTCCCATCATCCTCCTCTGATATAAAAGTTAACATGGCAGAACACCAACCGCACCTCCTCTCACACTCTGACCTGACTGGCTGCAGATTGCTCGAGGGGACATTAAGTTTTAGGGCCCTCTAATTCCCGCTGGGTGACAGAGCTCTGGGTGCCCCCCCACCCTCCTCGGGGGGTGGGGGGCACCTAGAGAGCTGGTGGCCGTGACCCTGAGTGCCGCCATCGCAGCAGACATAATGAGGGTTAAAGAGACGGTCATAGATGAGGAAGAGCTCATCAAACAGAGAGGGGGGGGGGGGGTTGATTAATCCATCTCCATCTCCTCTTCCCCCTTTCTTCTTCTTCCTCCCTGACGTGTATTTAGAAGCTCATTATGCTGTCCTGTTATAAGGCCCCAATAAAGGCTAACAGACCTCGACAGCGCTGGCAGTTTGAAGAGAGCCGGAGAATCGCAGCACTAATAATAACAGTAGTAAGATGTCTGCTGTGTCAGCTGCAGCTTTAGGGAAGTAGATCTATACGTGTATATTAGTGCAGAGACAGATACGCTGTCTTTATACAGTGTAACTGCAGTAAATATACACGGCACGGTTGAATTATGGTATCAAATCCAAACATTATGGTTTAAAGTAGTCAGTCATGCAGACAACACATATATCAGTGTAAGCATGAAGTTAATTCAATATTGTGTGTATAATAATATCTGACACCACAAAAATTAATAATTAAATTCATTAATTTCATAGTGACATGAAAAAACGAATATTTATGAATCATTTTCCCCTTCTAAACCTAATAAATCTTCACTTTTCTAAGGCAGGAATTAGCAAAAGTTAAAGTTTTGCTTAATAAAGGACTCAAACAAGACATCGATATTGCCTATAATGTATTTTGGGAGACGTAAAGGTGTCTTTAGTTTCTTCGTGGCCTCAGCTGCTGAAACAAGTGAGTGTGGCGATGCAGAGAGAGCTTCTCGGTGAGTCTTACCAGCTTGTGTGCAGTCTAGGTGGGCTCCTGCGCTGTGAGGGCGTAATGGGGCAGATTTGACGTAGCACCTGCACCAGCAGAGGTCATCGACTGTTAACATATCAAGAGGTCAAAGTTGAGAGGTTAATAGCTCCTCTGCTCGTGTGGGCGCTAGGCCAGTGGAGATGGTGTGGGAAAAAAAGGGGGTGATATCTGAGCGACTGGGGAGGGAGGGGAGGGGTCGGGCGAAACACAACTGGGCGCATCAGCGTGAACAAAGGAAACTATAATGTTTTTCTTTTTTTTTAAACTAAAGACCTGACTGACTCTGCTGTGCTGAACTCTCTGTTAACGACAAACTGTGTCAGCAGCAACGCAGCATAACAAGTTCACTCTGCATGCGTCAACGTACCATTCAGTCTCGTGTGTCTGTTGGCCCGCACACGAAGAAACGTCTGCAACAAACAGAAGACCAACTTCAGAATATTTCACATTTTTATCACAATTAGATTAGACTTGACATTTTTACATTTTACTGGCAATTCTACTAAAACATAATCTACAGGTGTGGCACTTAAATAATCTAAGCTATGGAATAAAGAAAATGATTTCTGCAGTTCAGAAAAACATACAGAGAGTCACACAGAAAGTGTCTTTGCATGATTTTCTCCTGTTTGCACTTATTTGACATCATTTTTTAATTCCAATTTTAAATACCATTATCAGCTTCACTTCTATTACTATGTTGATTCCCTATATTCGAGAGAGATGTACTCTGTCGTGGAGGAGGGATTACTGCTCTGTTGCTCCATTACAGTTTTTTGGTGGCTCTTTTGCTTTCCAAAATTGTGGTTGTATGAAAGTATAATTAAAATGTTGTATTCATGTTTTGTTATATCCAAATTTAGACTCCATTATACATATCTGAAATCTGAAATCTGAAATCTGATTCCTGAGATTTAGATTCTAAAACTGATTTCCTCACCTGGTATCGGTCAGAGTTAGCGTCCTCGGCCGGTCGAGGGGGTGACGTTGGAGAACCTCCTTCACGCTTAATGTGCAGAGAAAGAGAGAGAGACTGGACAGAAGAAAACAAGAAAGAAGAACAGGGAAAAGAGTTAAAGGCAATTGATGGTGGATGATACTTTTCACTGATAGATATCACAGGTGGGTTTTACCTTTGGAGCTCGTACGAGGAGGTTGTGCTGCACTGGAGCGGTACTGTAGAGAGAAGAGGCAAATTATACAGATGTGTGGATGTTAAACAAGCTTGGAGATAGAAAGGCACGCACACACAGACACAACACACAATCTTCTTAAACAATACACAAACACAATATGATCTTGAAAATATCATCTTGAAAATAACCTCTGCTTTTATCTTGTCTGAATTTGTATCAGAGATTGTGTGTCACCTCATTTCAGTCTTTCTCACTATGCAATTTTCACACACACACAAACATACACAC